GGACATTTCGAATTTGCACTGTCGTTTTGTACAGGCCGAACTTCGGAGCTAAACTGAAAACCGGTTCTGCTCGATGCCAGCGCCAACGGACCCAACGGTTTCGACTAAACGTAACAATAGAAATAAAAGCCATCTACCAGGGGTGCGTTCCAAAACCTACAGTAAAACTATAATTACATCTCTATACGTTTTGGATCGCAGCCCTGAAAGGTAAAATCCCCGCTCCGGGTGAGTATACCTGCTGCGTGCTATTAGAGCCTCGACGCTGCTCAAGAGATTTGTTGCGCTCGGAGGCCATAACTTCCGAACGGCTGCGAATTTCGATTTAAAACGTTGGGAACATATTCTTACAATGTTAAATAAACATTTTATGCAAAAAAAAAAAATTCGATTTTTTGAAAGTTCTAATTGGATTTCCCCCCTTAAGGACTTTAGGCCCGGCTAGCTTGTCATGCCCATATTACAGTGCATACAGCATTCGTCTCACCGTAACACGCGTGTTGATTGGTCAGTGGGCTGCTGCTCGGTAGAAATTTTTTATCATTAATATCTCAAAATTTTATGTGGTTGTTTAAAAAAATATACCGATTTTATTGCTCACTCTGACCTATTCTAGCTGTATATTAACTCTGATACAAATTAGCAACTCTGTATACTCTGAGTCCATATATACAAAAATAAACAAATGTCATTGATACATAAGAAAGGGGGAGAGGAATAAAAATGCAATATAATAAAAAGTGGAAAAAATGTAACGTAGTCTTAACATTACTTTAACCGTTTTACTTAAGGTCAAATTAACATAATTATTTTATAAAGTTAATCAGATTTTTGACGTCCTATTACGTTTGAAGTATTTTTTCATACAACATTCTTTTTGAGATATAATTGCTGTTTCCATTATTAAATATTCTTTATTCTATATAAATCATTTATATAATGATAATAATGAAATTGTCATAGATCGGTAGCAGTGGTAGCAGAGGTGAGGAGAGGTGGAACTTAAAGAAGGGATGAATGGAACGACGGCGCTGCGACGCAGCGTTGGGGCTGGTGCAGGCGCCATTGGTGGTGGAGCCATTGAGCCAGCACCCATCGCCACTCTTGTCGTATATAAAGATGATGCTGGATTTGGAATGAAAGTTTCTGGCGACAATCCAGTCTATGTCCAGTCCGTAAAAGAAGGTCCGAATAAAAACGTTATGTTTTTGATAATAGATAGTACATTTTCACACATTTTATAAACATCTTTATAAGTGATGTACTTTATAGGTGGAGCAGCAGCAAGAGCGGGTCTTCATGCAGGTGACAAAATAATTAAGGTAAATAAAAATAAACTTGTAAAATTTAATATAGAAACGAAATAACACATTTTTGTTAATTATTATTGGTTTCATGTGCAATTCAAAATGTATTATCGTGATTATACTATTTCTCATATTTACTGCTAAATCTAATTTTGCGTTTTATACGTGCATAGTAGACGTGCATAGTAGACGTAGCTATGATGTGTCTCGTAGCTATAAGCGGAGGGACGCGATTCGCGTGTATCACGGTCGCGCACCGGCTGAAGACTGACAGTTGTTTGTAGATATGTACAGAATAATAATTCAATAATGAAAACAATCGCACGGCTAACAAAAGACCCGGGTTCGTGTTCTGATTTCGATGAAACTTCGCTCCGATATTTTCCACTCATCTCTACTTGCCTAAAGTGTTACACATGTAATATTACAAGAAATTACTTTTGTTTAAGGTGAATGGTGTTAATGTAATGCAGTCTACGCATACCGATGTGGTCCAGCTCATAAAATGTAAGTGTATTTTTTTCTTTAGCTGAATCTAACTTAACCTAACAATTTTTATTCTTTAAATAATAATAAAAGTAACTGCTGCCGCTGCAAAATATTAGCATTGTTATATTAGAAATACAGTTTATTGACGTAATTAAAAAAATGTTTTCTTGATTAACATATGATTACAACAGTATTTTTAGCATTTTTAGATGTAATTTAATGAAAGATAAACAGACGCCGAGCGCTCGCCTGCACGTATGGAATTATATAAAAATTAATGTTTCTATAAAAAATATCTTATTTGCAAAATAACACATTTAAAAATGTTAATAAAGAATATTGTTGTTTACATTTTTATTTTTGATAAAAAACGTGATATCAGGTAGTAAAGACTAAATAAAAATAATTTACGTACTTCTGGACACGAGCATAACTAAATGAAAAATAGTAGTATATCTAATATCGTGTCCAGAAGTAGTAGTATATCTTACGTTCAAATCGAAATGTTCAAATCATAATTTAGTCACATTAGACACAGTGTCTTACACAGTGTATAAGAATAAATGTGGGGGTGTATGTATCGGAGGGTTTGAGTGAGGGGGTGGGGAACATGAAATGCTCTTAGTATCACTCTGACATGTGTTCTGAACTGACAAATAAAAAATTGCTGTTTCAAGATTTTTGGCCAATTTTGTCAAAAATGACCCTCTCTTTCCAAGGTAGGGGGGTTTTCTGCCTCTCTTAATTGCTATTTTGCAATTTTTGACCTTTAACCAACCTATTGGGTTGAGTTTCATTGCCTTCTGATGATTCTCACTTTTTACAACATTTCACATTTTGTATCAAAAATAAAAAACTTCGGGCGCGTTGAAGATTTTTTTGCGCGATATGAAGATATTGACCGATTTCAAAAAATTCTCAGAGCTCTATGAGAACAAAATAAATAATTTTTATCTCTTGATATTTTTCGGTAAAGTTGATAGAATTCAAGTAAAAAATTATTGAAACCAATAATTTTGTAGATATTTACGTAAATATCTTAGAAAATAGAGGTCGTATAAAAAATTTTTTCAA